TGCCGGCGGTGGTGACGAACGGCACGTACCACGCTGATTCGGAGTAGGTGTTCTCCCTTTTTGTCACGACGGTGAAGCCAGGCTTTTAAAACAAGATAGGAAAAGTTCCTCAAGGCTGCATACTTGTAAGGTTGCTGACACCAACGGCACCTTTCATCTGGTTGAACTTCTGCACTGAAGCACCTGGCCCAAGCTTGCCCCGGGGCTCTGCAGATGATGGGCAGAGGGAGATAGTGTCTGCTGAAGACAGCAGTTCATCCCACCCACCTGCCTGCTGACTGCCAAGACAGCTCAGGTGACTGAGATGGACCACCAAGCGCCTGGGGCAACCAAAGGCAGCTGAAATGGAGCCCACCCACAACGCAAAAAGGAGGTTCCAGATAACGTTTCAATGTCTTATATTAAAGCAAGCAAACCATGGTGGGGTTTAAAAGCCTCAGGTTGCTTGAGATGCTGCAAGTGTTCTGTTGGAGGGTGAGCAAGTTCAGGGAATACTGCCATTACCAAGATAACGGTTTCTTGTTACCTAAGGCAAAACTAGAAGTAGGTCATTTTCACTGCACTGATCTTTCAGCCCACTTCATAAGAGGAGCTGAACCCTGAGGAATTGGGTTATCATATAAAAAGAAATTGAACTCCTTTTTTTCTCCCTGGCTCCAGAAGGGAAAACCACACTTCCTGAGCAGTTGCCATCTCCCACATCTTCCCCAAGTGCCAGGAGACATGTCTCTGAGCTGGCATGTCACTTGGTGCTAGCAACTTGTTCATTAAGGTCCCATCATAAAACTGTCCTCACAGAGATCAGAAATTACTCATTTGCTCTACCTGGGTCATTACCTAGTGTGGTACTATTAGTTTTGATTGTCTACTGAAGTTTTTGTTTAGTTTTCATTATCACATTGCATATGAAATTTAGTAGAGATCTACTTCTTTTCTGTTTAAGGATAACTTTAAAATAATCTATTTAGCCTTGGAGAAAAAAAAAAGAAGTACATCCAATCCATAGAGAAGCTCTCATATAATCTGAAGATCACCACCACTCCATCCTCACTGGGATTGAAGTCACAAGTGACTCTGCAACAGGGCTTCTTTTCTACACTACTAGCCTTCCAGCATCTGATTCATCAAGTTGCTGCACTGAAGTGATGTAAGGAGTCGTGATGGAAGAATTTGCTGCAATGGAAGTGCTCTTCTGGAAAAGAGACTGGCAGTGGAAGGCTGATGTCTCTGGAGAGGCAGATTTAATGCTGCGGTATATGGTCTAGACTGTTTGTATTTGTGGTAAAGCACTGGAAAGAAATACAGAACAAGCTTTATTATTTAGCTTAACTTTTCATTTCCACATTAAGCAGGGGGAGAAGGCAGCTGTGAGAAATATACTTATTCCTTCCCAATGGAGTATTACTAATAACACGGTTATTCATCAGTCTGCAAGTTTGGATTTAAGCATTTTCATAGCAAAGCATCCAGACTTGCATGAGCTGTTGGCAGGATCCTCTGGTTCTGGCTCAGTTACCAGCAGACCCTAGCAGATCCAGACTATTTTACAGTGAACAGCTCTTTTAGCCCTTCACCAGCATACTCGTATTTTCATTCCTGCATGCAAGAAAAAAAAGGCTAATGCCATCTTCAGGCAGACAGAAAATGCATGGACTCTGGTGATGGAGAGACGGTGCAACAAGGAATGAAGGTGGTGACCAGCACAAGGATAGGGAGAGAGTGGTCTTTATCCTCAGAGTGTGCTGCTTCTCCAGGCAAGACAAAAGCAAGCCCTCCTCGTGTCCTGAACCAACCTGATGGAAGTCAGCTCCAAAATGAAACTGGTGAGCTAGAGCGTGTCTGGGATGACTGTGGAGGAGTAAGCTGTATTGCTGGGACACAGGTCCACAGCTCCACAGGCTGTGCAAGGCCAGGTCCCACCCTGGCTGCTGAAAGCTGTGCAGGTTTCCCTGCAGGCATGTGGACAGGTAGCTCAGGAAAGACCCATCCCACCCCTCTGGATTTGCTATCTAAAACCTGCTGAAACCTCAGTGACACTGGGGCTGGGCACAACTGCTTCAGTTCCTGACAGGCAGCTCAAAGTTTTACATGACAGTGACCTCAGGGATGGAAAAAAAGTCCCTTCCAAGTGACAAGGATTTCTTGTTGATTTTGTTGCCTATTTCAACTTTGGTAGCCACAGATTAATGTGTCCCCCTGCAAAAGAAGCACATAGAAGTGCAAGGCAGCTGGAGGAGTGAATAGCTATGAATAAAATAAAAAAGAGGTATGGCAAAATGCATGAGGTAATTTTAAGGTTCCAGGCAAAGGTTAACTCCTGCTCTTTCCTTATTAATAAAGCTACCAAAATCTTTAACTTTGTAGTTGCATGGTAATGGCAGTGTGCCCAGTCTTTTGGCTACTTGCCATTTTTGTTTTAGAAAATAAATAAAAAAACTTACGTTATGACTCTGTGCCTGTCCTTCATGACATGAAGCATATCAACCACCGTTGGCTTCAATATAAGAGCATGGGGCTCAGCACTTTCTGGGACTGGACCCAATGTAGGACTTTGCTTTCCTTTTGAATACATCTACCCTCTTCACTCCTATGAGATTAGTCCATAAAAGAAAAGCAAAACTGGACAGAAATTTCAGTGAACTTACAGTTGTGGTAATGATAGTGGTTGGGTTTGGGATAACTCTGATGCTTAAAGTCACCGTTCCAGTTTTAATTAGGCGTGTAGTTTTGTCCCTGGCAGGTAGTAAATTGTCATCTGTTATATGGACGCGCAGCCTGTAAACCCAGTTTGTATCAAGTCCACTCTCATAATCAAACCTGGATGCAAGAATCAGCCGAGATGTGTTGGAGCCAGCACTTGGTGAGAAGGTGAAATGGTTGTTCGTGTTGCCTAAAGCAAAAACATCAAAATGCCAGAAAATTTACTTTACACATTCAAGTAAATGCACGGAACAAGCACAAAAATTCGTTTCTGTTGACAACGTGTTATGGATCACTATGCACCTATTATGCAGTGAAGTATCGTCGACAAGGATGGTTCCTTCATCTTCCTGATACCATATAAAACAACTGAAAATTATAGTGCCCTAAAAGCATTAAAATATAGAACAAGACCTTCTGTGGGGACATAGCTGAGAGGAGGCTGTGGAAATACTTCAGAGCACCAGGGCACACAAGAGGTCACTTGAATGACCTGTCCTTAGAGCATGGAGAGCACCCAGAGGCAGCAGCACCTACCCTTTCACCTGTAGGTGAGGACCCTACACTGTTGCAGGGCTAGTTTCACTATTGGGGTGGCCCTGGGGTGGCCCCTAGACCACATGGACACCACCAGTGTCTTCAGAGGCCCTCCAGCTTCTCTCTATTCCTTCTCCCTCAAAGCCAGAGGCTTTTGAACAGGTCGCCCAGAAGAGAGCTAATGACTCACAGCCATTGTCTCCAGGGCTTTGTCTTCACTGTGGGGACAGAGAGGGGAGTTCACTGATGCTGGCTTCCCAGCCCTCATTTTCTGTCCATATAGCTGGAGGTCTGCTAGCAGTCTGGGCTGCAGGTAGGCCAGCCCAGATGGCTCCCAGCTCCCAGGCTCCAGGACAGACCACACAAACAAGAGATCAGAGCCATGAAAAGGCCCCAGATGTGCTTTGGGTTTGTTCTTGTTGCCCCACAGAGCTACAGAGTTGAAGTGACCTTGAAGGCCATGACTATTGTACAACACAAATGGGCCATGGGGTGCTCTGTGTCTCAGAGGGCAATTGCATGGCAAAGCTCACATCTATACAGCCAAAACTGGACCTGCAGTCAAACTCTGAGTTGCTAATACAAACATTTCCTTTGTGAGGGTTCGTGTGTAAATACCACTGCTGCAGAGCTCCTCTGTGCCATTAAGGGGCTGCAATAGGACAGGGGTTCTCTCTTTTTACACTCAGCTGGCACTTGGGCAGCAGGCTCCCTCCTTCTCAGTAGTCATCTCAGCAGCAATATAAAAAGAGTTGCCCCAGGAGAGTGTGTTCCCTTTTTTGTGAATCCAAGTGTCATCCCATCCCATTGCAGTTCCAAGCAGATGCAGCTGACTACTAGGTTCAAACACTCATTCTTAAAATGAAGATTCAATGCACACAGCATGGGCCTAGGACATGCAGGTTGCTCGGTTGTTTTGAACTGTGTACCAGCATCTAAAGATGAGGTATGCAGAGTAACAAAACCCACCAGTGTTTCTCAGTATTTACTTAGTGGTAATTGGAAGGGAAATTTGACCCTACATATCATTCCAGCTCATTCTTCTGAAGTCCTTGTCAACTGTGTAATTAATTGTTAATTAATTAATGTGGTCAGCAATCCAGTCTTGCGAGGGAATGGTTTTTAGGTGGTAGCACCAGTAGCCAACTTGTGCAGAGACATCTCTTTGGTAAGCAGCAAAGTAATGATGTGCAGAACTTGTGGATCACAACTAGCTCGCCGTGAGAAGTAGCATGTAAACTGTGCTAGATTTGTGTTTACAAATCAAAGCAAACCATCAGCATTCACTAATTTTTGCACTGTTCCCAGCTTACTCACCATGGCACAGTACCTTCATTAATGAAGTAACGGAAAGACCTGGGATCAGAATCACGATCCTGACATTCAATCCTGAAGCCATTAATATTGGTCCCTACAGCTAAGCTGACTGGGATTTGAAATGAATAGAAATTGGGTGCACAAACAGGTTCTTCATCATTGACTTCCAATACATTGACAGTTACCTGAAAGAAAAGAGCAATAGCAAGCGTGAAGCTCTTTCCATTGTGTTGAGCCAGAATTTTATTAACTGCTTGGCTTTGCTCATTTTCCTCTTTTGATCAACAGCAGTTGAAGAGCAATGAACTTCCCTTCCAATCTAGTTCCTACCAGAAAACATCTGTGATCATTTGACCTTCAATTCTAATGATCAGAACTCTTCTGCGAGCATGTTCCTTAACCTGAACCATCTTCTAAAACTGTGAGGTTTTCAAGCTGATGTGTCTGACTATTTGAATCACCTAAATTGTGTCATAGCTAGAGTGAGGAATGATAGTAGTACCATGTATTTATTAAACTTCCTTTCAAACCTCTCAAATTGCTTCACAGTCATTCGTTAGGCTTCTTAGCATATTCAATAATAATTCAGAGCATGAGTCATGAAAAGAAGGAAGATTCCTTTTAGACTGTTTCCAGCGAGAGAGAAGCACTGGTAATGGCCTTCTGTGTGGCCGGGAACACTCCGGGCAGCACCAGTTGTGTTTAATGTCAGCTGGGATTAGCTGGCTGAGAGAAAAAGGTTGCCTTTCTCAAAGCTCTTTCCTCTAACATCTGGTGGTCTTTAACAGGAAACAGATAAACTTGTCAATGTTAAAACTTCCTGATGCTGAATGTTCTTTAATCATTACCTTGAAATATTATAGGTGGTAAAGAGATTAAGTACTTCGCACCTAGCATCTCTGTGGGTGGTGCCTGGCTGGCATAGAAAGCAGGCCTAGTACTTGTATCCCCCTCCAACAGATGTGCAGAAGTAAAATGTAAGGCAGTCATAAGGGAGGAGATGTGAAAAGGAGTAAAAAGGAGTCTGTACATGAAGGACACCAGGATTCTTTGAAAGAAGTGACTATAAAATACCTTTGTGGATATGCTACCTACATTTTTTTCTTCCGAATAAAATAAGTCAGGTCAGCAAACTTGAGCACAACCCTGCTGTGTAATGTTCTCAGGGTCCCCAGCATGCTCTTGGCTTCTGCCAGATAGCACCATCAGGGACAAAACAGGGGAAGGCACTTGTAAGGGTTCATTTCCAGTAGGCCACATGGACACATCTGTAATGTCCTGGGCACTCTGATACCATCCCAAGAGGTTGCCCAAGCCCTCATCCTATCCCCAAGGTATATAGTACAGCCTCTCTGTCCCACCCCATGGAAACACAACTCTGATGGGTTGCAATACAATTCTTGCATTACTTTGGGCACTTTGTAGTAGAAAAAAACACGACATACTAAATCAAATATAAGTTTGAGGGTCAAGGGGTACTACAGAGGGTCCTAAAATGACTTGGCACTAAGCATGGCTACAATTGGGTTCTGCTATCTGGCTTCAAGACCCTGTTCTTTTTCTATTTTCCAGTACATACGTATCCATAAAGAATATCCTAAGTTTTCTAGGGCACAGAAGACAATTTTACTGCCCAGGTAAAATAAATAAATAAAAAAAAACCTGATAAACAAAACCCACAGTTGAAAGATAAATATATTACTTTGATGTTTTTTGTATGAAATAAACTGAGTGAACACCACCTCTTTCATCCAACTCTGTGCAGGGGTGAACTTGCCTTTTACAGACCAAAGTGCTTTGCACAATGTTGCACCATTCTTGTCAGGAAGAAGAGAGAAAAATGTGGATAAAGGGGGGGAAGTAGAGTGGATTTACTCACAGATGCTGTTGCAGCCTTCTCTTGGTCTGAGGCCTGTACTGTGAAAATGTGTTTCTGAGTTGTTTCATAGTCTAATCTACCTAAAATCTTGACAACTCCTTTGGTTGGACTGATCCAGAAGATATTTGTGTATTCCCTGGTGCCTCCTCCAGCTATAATGGAATAAGTGATGACACTGGGTGGCCAGTCCTTGTCTTTGGCATTTACTGTTCCAATGCTGGATCCAACTGAGAAACAGAAAATCCATATTTCATTAACATTTTAAGGAAAAGGAGGTACAGAGTACTTGTTTCAACCAAAACCTGACAAAGCTGAACTAAAGATTAATTCTGGAGTTTTTCACCTGAAAAAAAGTAAAGCAAAGGTGTGAGAAATACTAATTTGTTGCGGTGAGCAGAGCCCGCCATAGGCAGGGATCGGCGTGCGGAAGATCTCGCGATGTAACGGAAAGCTCAGACTGCCCACGAGGGGCCTTGTGGGCGTGGCTTGTGCTATATAAGCAATTGCAGCTGCGCAATAAACGCCATTTGCAGCATCCTTCACATTGAAGCCTGTGTCTGCTGATGGTACCCAACGGCAGAGGTTGGGTGGCAGAGATCCCGGGGATCGGGTGTCGGTAACGACACTAATTCACCACGCTGTGCTATGGCTTCTCCATGTATGGGCTTGCCTGGTAGCAATAAATACCAAAATGGGAGGAATCTGTAGAGAACCACAACAGAAACGCTCTGGCAGTGAGGGCCACCCGGATCCCTGCACCGACCTGCAGGAAGTCCTGCCTCGTGGCAGCCCGAGCACGGGCATGGCCGGGGGAACAAGGCTCTTTGCCTTGGAAAGCCATTGCTGCGGTTCCTTCCGCGGTGGCCGAAAAGCCATTTGAATTGCCCTTGTGCTGAGCATTTCTGCAGCAAACCTCAAATGGCAGTGCTGCAAACGGTGAGAACGAGGACGGGACTGCGCTTGCCGATCTCTGAAGAGACTGAGTAGATCCACGTGACCTGAGGATATACAGGATGAACAGTCCCCACGCACAGAGCAAGACAGAAGGAGGTTGTAAATGAAGGGCTGTCATTATTTTTCTTTCCTGAGCCTGTGAACTCCAGCCCTAGTGCAAACTGCTGGCTCCTCTTTGGTACAGCAACAGCAAGCACCCCACTAGTGTCAACTCAGCCCAAACCAAGAGGCAGTCTGAGTCAGAAAAAAACATATTCTTTCTTTTGATAGTCTCAGTGTCTGGCAAAGCTCTGTGTCTGACACAGATGGCTTTACAGACATATCCATGTCACAGATGTGTTTCAAGTGTTACATTGCTAAGATTTATGTCAGTGGTATGAGGAGACACACACAGAATAGGAAATGCTACAGAATTCACCATATTGTGCCCACTGGGAAAGAGCGTAGAAAACCAAGCTCCGTCTCTGCACCATCGAAATTAAAGCTGGGCAAGAACAACCAGCTGCTGAACAATGCAAGATGCTGATATGCACACCTGCAGGTCAGGGTCCCCTGACTGCTGAGTGGCCGTCCTGTGCCCCCTCATCCCTCCTTAGCATTCCTTGCTTTCCTGGGAGCTTGGCTCCTGCAGGAGCCAGGGCTGCCGAGGTTTCCCTGCCAGGCTTCCCCCACTAGGAGCCATCCCCCCCGGCCCCACCTCTCCAGTCTCTCCAGCTCCCTCCCAGGCCGTGCGTCCCCCCACCAGCTGCAGCTTTGCCATACTCAGGAGTAGCTGGTGACAGCTTCTCCAAAGAGCAGGAAGGAGGGTTTTGTGTAGACCTGTGGACGTTGGCAGGATCCTCCTGATCAAAGAAGGAAGGAAACAGAAAGCTGAGGGAAAAGGATGAAAATCTGGGCTTGCTCCTTTGTCCATGGCAAGGGAGAGGAGGTTGTGAGCAGGATGGTTGGGCTGTTTGCAACATGCCTCTTCCTCCCCACCACCCCTTGGCTTAGGCAAATGGACACAGAAGCACTACAGAGTGCACAGGTCTGCTGACCATAGCCGCAGCTGCCTTTGCCTGTGCTGTAAGCCTACTCCAGCCATAATAATTTGATTAATTCAAGCAGACACTAGATTATCTGGCTGCTAAATATCCTGGAGGTTTGTGGACAGCTTCACCACGTCCCACTCAGATGCAGTGATGCAGTTGGACATACTCTTTGGTGGTGTGGCCATTGGGGCAGTTTTATGAGTAACAGAAGCCTGAGGCAGTGTTGGATGTGCTGGAGGACAGGGCTGCCATTCAGAGGGGCCTGGCAGGCTGGAGCTGTGCACCAGCAGAACTCATGAAGCTCAGCACAGACAAATGCAAAGTCCTGCACCTGGGCCAGAATAAGCCCATCTGTGCAGGCTGAGATTGGCTGAGCAGGTAGCAGCTCTGCAAGAATGGACCCCAGCCCTGATAGAGAAGTTAAGATAAGCCACCAGGGCACCCTTGGGAGAGTGGAGACCACATACTGGACTGCATTAAGAAGTGTGTCACCAGCCCATGGCACGAAGTGGCTTATCCACTCTGCTCAGCACTCGTAAAGCTACCTGTGATGAGTTTGGGGGCCCACGGATAAGAAAGATGCTAAAAAAGTGGAGAAAGGTTAGGGAGGATTGAGCAGAGGATGAAGGAGGAGGGGCTGGTGGGGCTGGGTTTATTCAGCCTGGAGAAGAGAATGCAAAGGGGTCTAGTTGCTGTGCTCCACTACCTAAAGGGCAATAATACAGGAGACCAGGATACAATCTTCTTAGGAGGGGATGTTGAAAGGACAATAGAGAACAGACACAAGCTACAACATAGAAAATTCCAGCTGGGAACAAGATAAAATTATCTGTAATCAAGGTTGCTTTGCAGAAACAGAGACTCAGAGAAGCTGTGGATTCTCTATCCTTGGAGATTTTCAAAACATAACTGGATGAGGTGCTGAGCAACCTGACTTAGCTTTGAAACTAGCCTCACTTTTAACATAAGTTGGACTTGAGACCCTAGTGGTCCATTACACCATCAATTTTTCTGCAATCCTAGGAGGTCCAGAATGAGGGTCAAGATTTTTCCAGCATATATCTAACGTACCTCTCAATTTTTTCTCAGCCAAGAGAATAAAGCCAGTAAGTGAGGTCATGGGGCAGAAGGCCTGTGTTTGGTACATCAGGTCATAGAAGGGAGAGGCTGAAGCTAGGGAAGATGCCATTCCTGTGCCAACTCCTCTGGACACCAAGCAGCACAGCACAGAGCTGGCTGGTGCTCACACATGGCACACAGGAATTACCACAGAGGCAAGATGCCACGGCACTGCTCTGCAAACTCACGAGGTGCAGAGCTCACCAGAGGACTGGAAGAGTGCTGAGACGGGAGTCAAGCATGTGAACAGTTTCAACAAATTCAGTTTTAAGATCATATTCAGAGCTGCTGGTCCTGGGCTGCTGCAGGAGTGGGAAGGACCCTGGTTCCAACCACAAGGAGCTGCTCTGACTGCACTCTGGCTGTGCACAGCTCCTCTCTCCTCCCCCCCCCCCCCCCCCCATCCAAGCATTCCCATTGCTTCCCATTGCACCCCATCTGCAGGACACCTGCTGCACCCAAGGTGAGCTGGGCTTAAGGGGGCAGTGGGGTGGCCATCCTACACCATGGGCCAAGGGAGTCTTAACTTGTCTGTGTCAGTCTATAGTGGTTTCTTTGGACCATCACAGTCCCTCCAAAAGGCTAATTTAGCAAGAGCAGAAAGACAGTCTAAATCAAGACATCTGAGTTCATTTCTTGGCTTTGTCACAGATTTCTTGTGCAATTGCTGAATTTGTCTATGTCTCAGCTTCCATTTGTACAATTGGAATTGTTGCCAGTTTTGTCTATTTAAGGGTAGTAGGTGGTTGTATGGTGAGACTCTGGTTGAACTGGAACTTTGAGACATTCTCTTAATTCAAATATTTGAAAATCCATTTAGCACAAAAAGGTACTTATCAACCTGACAACATTATTTATGTTATGTAGGTCCTATTTACTGTACCTTTAATAATTTCTGGAACATTAAATTCATATGATAAATTACTGAAGACTGGAAAAAATTCATTCACTGGCTTTATCCTGATATAAATGTAGATGATATCTGGAATTATAACAGAAGATTAAATCATCGTTAAGTATGGCTGTGAAATTTTCTCATGCATATATTCAAAATACATATGGTATTCCTCTCTCCATGCTGTTACAGCACAGGAAAATATCAAAAGAAGTGTAAAAGGGATACTTGCTTGAGTAGTCAGGACGGGCAATATCTTGCACCCTGACAGCCAAAGAATAAACTTCAACTCCAAGATTAGCTGGGTTTTCTAAATCAATACTTTCAGTCATCTAAATTAAAAACAAACACAATTGTATTTATACTTCCTTACATAAAGTCACAATATATATGAAGGCAATTACTTTTTTTCAGTGGTGCCCCCTTGGATATATAGAATTGCTCCGTAGGAGTGATACAGGCTATTAATCAATTACAGGATTGAATTCCAGGCTTTTTCTACATATTCACACTCTGGTGTCTCTTGAAAATTCAAAACTCTTTCCTTCTGCCAACAAAATTTCTTCCCCTTAAGTGCAGGAAGTTTCATCATTTGGATCACAATTTTACCTAGTTAATTCAAAGCTCATGTAATGAGCTGGCTATTTACTCTGCTCTTTGTTGGCTCAGCAAGAATCTGCTGTTGCTAAATAGTATTAGTTACTCCTTGAGCTTACACCTGCAGACGTGTATTAAAGGTATCAGGTTCGGCCACAAGTGCTTATCCAGGAACCAAACTGTTACTAAATGGTGGCTTACACAGATTTAAATCCTAATCTCCTGAACTCTTTGTCTTTCTGTAGGAGCCTCATAAACTTTGGGACAGCAGGACTAAAGCACAGGCATCCACTGTTCATCATCTACAGGGAAACTCCTGGAGGAACAGGACACTTCAGCTAGCCTGTTACACTATACACACATGGTGATCAAAGGGCTGATAACAGTCATATCCTGTGCAGCAATGAAAATGCTTTTTGTGTTGGTAGATGAAGCAACTAAGGGCAGTGCTCGTTGACATGTATACCTCAGATCAAAAATTAAAGCAAGCCATACAAAATCGGTTTACTGCTCCTGTAGCACTCTTGTCTTTTAGACAGAATGCCTACTTTTTGTTACGTTTCTCTTTTTCTGTAATTGTCCATGGTTTCTTTTAAAGCAATGAGACAACCACTGTTGTACGTGTCCAGCAGTTTGTGGGGATTCTGGCCAATGCAAATATGCCTGCAACTCTCACCATAAGAAGCCCATATTTTGACATCAAATCACACAAGTGCAAATACCACCACACTTTTGTCAAAATTTCTCACTCAAAGTGGTTCTACAATTCTGACCAATGAAGCTGGGAAGTAGTTACTGTGTGATTTCTCATGTATTTCAAATACTTATGCTAAATAACAAGGATCTTCCAGTCTGTCATGAATAAATGGGTATGAAATGGCATCAGATTTCTCTGTTTATCCATATCAAAGTTAGTGCTTCACACTCCCTAAAAAAAGGAAATTTTTTTTTCAATCATACCTAGCACATTTATTTAAAACCAGAGAAAACAGTTCTCTGGTGAATGTTCTCTGTTCACCAATTCTGTGAAATCCATAGAAAGCATCCTGTCAAAGGGTGTGTAGTTCACATCCAGTCAAAGCTGTCATTGTCCACATAACACTCACTGTGACATGGATTACAGTAATTAATTTTTTCTTATACAGGCAGTGAATTCAAAGAACTTATAAAATTCCACAAGTCGAATTCTGATATTGGACAATCTAACATAAAGCCACGAAAAACTAACCACAAGTCTTCCAGACACAGTGGACCCCAAAGCGAAGTTATTGCTTCCAAAACCAGATAATCCAGTGAAATTAAATTGGTTGTGTGATGGATCAACATCAGTATCTCTACAGTAATTTCTAAGATCAAGAAGAAATGTCCCAGCAGTTGTATCTTCATTCACCTCTTTCCTGTTTAAGACAAACATATTTCCTCTCAGAGAAATTTATATTTCTTCTCTTGAATGCTTCATATATTACATGCCACAACATTTATTTCTATTTATTTTCCAAGTCAGATCCTAGATCTAAACAGGCAACAGCTGATGAACCAACCCAGAATCTAATTCATATGCTGTGGTGGACAGCTGCCCTGTACAATGGGCAGGACATAAATATTTAGCCAAATCCAAACCATAAACCTCAAACTCAGCTAAACTTCAGAAGCTGCCATGAGATCTAAATGTTCACAATTAGTTCAGTTAATAATTAGTATCTTAAAACATCTTTACAGCACTCATTTCTTCAGTACGTTATAATGTTCTCCTGATGAGAAGACAGGTTTTTTTCTCCTTACCTAATAGCTGGACCACTATGCTGTTTTGTGAAACTAGCAGTTCTGGCCCTGATGTTGATGGTGAGGGTCCCTGTGATGCACATGATGGAAATGGGGGCAGAGGGTGCTGTTTTGTTTTTTTTTTTTAATCGAGAGAGATAAATACAAAAAAAAAAAAAAAGAAAGAAAGAAAAACAAACTGAAATACCAATAAGCTCCAATTGTGTTCCCATAGTACCATCCCTGTAAGACTAGTTTTTCATTTGATTACAATTTTCCCTGAAGATTTTTGTCTCTTTCAGATGAAAATTTAAGCTCACTAGATAAAAGACTGTTATGCTATTGTCATGGATGTTGTAACTAAGCAGCAGCACTCAGAAGAACTGGATTCTCTTCCTGCCCTCACATGAAATTATGTGATTTAAATGTAAGACATTTCTATCAGATAGTGAGCAAGCAATTTAAATAGATACCCGTTAACTTGGAATTCCTCATTGCATATGTTTGTGGCCTGAGGTGCTGGATTTTTACCTGCAGGACCATCAAAATACCCTAAGTGCACCTGAAGAACTGCACTATGCAGTGCAATGTACCCTGAAAGATCAGAGCTCAGGCATGTCAAACATTTCAGATGGACAGTTTTGACTTCAATCTTTCTATGACATAATCTGTAAAACAGAGTTAATGTTATATCTTCACCTGCAGACACAAACTACCTGATCATCACAGAGGTCTCAGAGCACTCATAGCCATAGCAAAGACCATGACTAAGTCACTATACAGAGAGGACACCTATAACAAAGAGGTGATCTGGGCTCTGAAGACCTTACAGATTGCATTAGACAAAAAACCATGCAGGTCACAAGACAGAGAAATGAAGATCAGGAAGTTTAAAATAAAACTCCAGAACTGACTGACAAGCTTTCTCTGGTGGGTGATTCCCCCCAGTTTAGCATAAAGTAAGAAAGGAGGAGCCTGGATCTGTATAGGTCATGAAAGTAACTCTCTAACACATATATTCTGATATATAACACACATAACATATAACACATATATTCTGATATGCTAAGGGATTAGGTACGTGAAAGAAAGGTGAATAAATTATCTGACCATACCCTGATATTTTTAGTCCAAATTCCCAGTTTGAACATGCCAGGAATTTGACTTTCATGCCCTAAGACACTTAGAGTGAACACCAACTAAAGACTAACGAAAGGCTAAAGATAAATGTGCACTTGAACCTCTAGCTGTAGGTCTGGAGACCCTATACTGATGTGCCCTAGACTGCACACTGGTCTGGAGCAGAAAGGCAGCAGGCAGCACTAAGGCAATGAAGAGCCTCAATACCTGAAGGTAGAAGGGTGGCATTCTGGTAGGTTGTCATTGATGTCCTCAATAATGATTGTGATTTCTGTTTCGCTGGCGTGCCCCCCGCTGGGACTGTCCTCCACCCGCAGCAGCAGCGAGACGTTAGGGTGGAGCCGCAGGGGAAGCGCGTCTCGGTCAGCTCTCCCCGTCACCTGCAGCACGCCAGTCGCTAGGCAGAAAGCAGCCACATGTGAGATGTTCACCACGGGGGCAAGTAACAAACACTTGTGGTGCACATGCAAAAGGACAGGGTAGCTCAGCAGACAGGTAGCAGAATAAAACCTCTTCTCTTCTGTGCAAGTCATGGCTGCCTTAGCTGTTTTCTTAAATGACGCATAATGGCTCTGAAAGTTCTGCGTAAGACTTTAATGGATAGACACCGATTGTTCAAAGATACAGCTCAGCAGAGGGCTTGGAAAGCAGATAGTTTTCCCTTATGCCCTCAAAGAGCTAGTGAAAGTCAGAGTTGAGTGCACTTGCAGAGCACCAAGGACAATGAGCTGCTAATGCCTGTGCTGTCCTTGCTCTCTAGCTATTAAGACCACTTCTCTTTCTACTGTTATCATTGAAGCATCCTTCAGCACCTCTAAATCTACTCACACATCAACAGAGCTGCTCTTAGCTGTGACACACTCTTAGCTGTGACAGACTGTGTCAAGTGCTCTGGTCAGCCATTCACTTAATTATTCTTTTTTTCTTCTGCTAGCAAACCTTCTTTAGGTTTTTATGGCACAGCACAATGCTATTTCCAGAGCACAAAGGAGGTAAAAGGAGGTAAAGGAACAGTGTAGATATCCTCTGCCTTTTGGAGTGTAATTGAGGTGGAGGTTGGCAGTACATGGCCAAAGGACATAAGGAGTCCAAAGTATTTAAGGATTATCCTGATCCCCCACAGCATGGTGTTGTGTGGCACTTCTTACAGCTCTGATAAACAGTTCTAAAGCAAAAGCAGACAAGGAGCAAAGCAGCCACTGAATGCCAGCCACGGAGCAAAAACCTCAGGGCACTGGTGTATGTACCCCAGAGAGCACAAGGAGATAGGACCAGCATGAGAGAGAGGACTCTTTTGGATGGCCTTGCCTGAGGAGAGCCATCAATTGAACAATGAAGCTGAGGTGCAGATTTGCTGTGCACCTCAATGCTAGATCAGATTTCAGGCAGGAGAGAGGACATTAAGGTCTAACTGTGTGCAGCCATTTCAAGAGCCCCAGAAGGGTCACTGCAGTCCTCAGAGATTAAAAAGAAGGCAGCTAATAATTCCACCCAAGGGACTGTCATCCTCTAGCTGTAAGGCAATCTTTGTCAAGAAATCACCTTTGAGCTACTTTCTTTAAGATATCTTACTTAATCTTGGTCAGCTGACCAAAGAATTTGACCTTAATAATGTACCAAGTATTTGTTATTTCTAGGGTAGCTGCAGAATAAATTATGTCAATTTAAAACTAAGGCAAAACCATTTTCTCCAAAGTAGCCATTCTCTCTTTTGGGGTGTTAGAAGGCATATTTTTGTTTGTCACACATGGATTTATGGAGAAATATCTGTTAGAAGACTGGATGCTGTAGAAAAGTCTGCTGGGAAAGTCTTCATCATCAGGATCTTTAGCTGTTATATTGGCAACAACAGTGCCCAGGCTTTGCTCCTCTGGAATCCTGTAGATTCTTTGTTTTCTGCAAGATAAAACAAAATTCAGTGAAGTGCACATCTGTGTTTGCAAAGGCAGCTGATTACAGACTTATCTGAGCAGCCAATTGTAGCAGCAGAGCCATGACCATGCTGGGCTCAGAGATGGCTATGTGCATGTCATGGTAAATACCCTTGTCACTGGTTCTGCCAGCTGGATATGTAGCAGTAGCTGAACCAGTGTGTGGTCCTAAAGCATGACATAGCCACACAAATAAGTATCCTTCCCCTGCAACTTTTTCATAGAAAAAAAAATTTACTTTCACAGAATCATGGAAGCTGAAGATGGAAGGAGCTGTTAAGTGATGCAGTGCATCTCCATACAGAGCCACTAGCTTGTGAAACCACTTGCTTTAATTCCTTCATTTTGCAAAAGAAAACCAAAAATAGAAGCAGGGATGTAATTAATCATCCTTTGGAGTGAACGCTGGAGGCTTTTTATAGGCATATAACTAAACAGCTGAGTTGCCCCTGCAGCAGGTGAAGGCAGGGAGGAGCACTCCTGTGGGTGCCCAACAGATGGACAGGATCCAAACTCTCAGCAACATCTATCTGTCTGATCCATCTTACACAGGGAAAATGGTTCTTTACTGCTATTGTTTGGTATGCCAGTGCTCCCAAATTTCCCATTAATTAAGTGAGTTTGATAGCTCGGATGTAGTCTAGCAGGCAGTTGTGCAGGATTGCTTATCATGGTTGCAGTTGTGTGTTCACATGGGTACTGGGGTATGCAGTCATGGTACTTGAGCCATATGCAAAAGCAGGCATGGGCAAGCACACAAAAATAGGGAGGCAGATTTATACTACTAAAATACACACAGATGTCTCCTGCTTCTAGAAATCAGAGGGAGTTGAAGGTGCTCAAAAGTTCAGAAAAGCATTAGGAGTACGTTTCAAGACTGAATCCTTTTTGCACATTTTAAACTTTCTATGCCAACACTTAGCTGATTGACTAGTCTATAATTCCCAGTATAGAAAAGCATGAGCCCTTCATTGTCCTCTGAAAACCAACATCATGGGGCACTTTGCAATTAGAGCAGAGAACTGCAGAGACAGAACAGAAGATCTCATGCCTCCAGTCTACACTCACAATTCTAAAAATGGTTAAGATGACACAGCACTTCAACTGTTTTGTCAGGTCATATGAAGAGAGGAAAGTGTACAGGAGAGAAATCCCCAGTAAAAACACCTAACTTACAGCCAGAAGTAAACAAGGAATTAATGAAGGCTGTGAAGTCTGTGTACTTATTATGTTTCTATATCACTCTTGGCATTGGGCCTCTTCCTTCCTTGTTCTCCTGTTGCCTCCAGAGTCACTCAGAAACAAAACAAATAGCAACAGATCTCTGTTGCTGCTAGCAAGCGTGCCACCCCAATATGGGAGGGACAGCTCTAACTGGTTTTGTCTCAAAGGAGGAAACTCCCTATGACCCCAGGGACCACAACTCTGACCTCCCTGTGGACAGCAAACTCACCACAGCTCCACCTTTACAGCCCTCCTAGCCCTCCTGCACCCTCCACAGGCAATAGTCCTGTCCCCACCGTATCTCTTGGGAAGAAGCGGCGCAGAGCTGAGCACTTTCCCTAGCACCAAGTACTGGTACAGCTGGGGAGAAGCTGGGGGCCACTTCCTGTGCAGCTATGTCGGGGCTGTGTCCTTTTGTCCATCTGTCTGCCACTTGCCAATGGCTTTTTACAGGATCGTTCAAGCAGACCTTTTACATGCTGCAATGTAATTACTAAGGAAGCGTGTGTTTGTTTTCTTGTCTTCTGCTTTGTTTTCCTAACTCCACAAGTTTTCCACTGATTTTAACAGGCAGAATTTCAAAAGGCTGAATGCCAATGTAGTGTCGTGAACACCAAAACCAGATGTGCTTGCATATACTATGGGAACAATTAAAAAGACCCTTTGAAAATCTGGTCTTGACAGCTTTGATCCAGAGAAAATAAAGAAGGTTTGCTAACTCCTCAAGTTTCCCCAGCTCCCATCCCAGCACTAATTATTATAGTGTCAGAAAGTGCGTAGCCTCAGCATGCAGCTCACATTTTAGCAGGGGAGAGGCCATATGTGCATACCAAGGACAGATCATTAAGTGTAATTTAATCTAAATGTCTTTACAAACTGAGCTCCTTTTTTTGGTCTGTAGTGTCAATCTAAAAGGGAGAAGATTTAAACAAATATCAGGCTTTATCTGTGCCATATGAGAATGGAGTCTTAGACTTGCGGTGTTATGGATGCTCAAGTTACTGATACTTTCACTAATTCAAACAAGTAGAGAAATATTTAAAAGAGCTCCTTCCACACATAAGGATAAATAAACAGAAATGGCAACATTTGGAGGAAATAATCAGTCTAGAACACAGCATGCAAATGTTGGCACCACGAAGAGGATTCCTCCTGCTTGTAGCAGTACAGTAATGTGGAGCGAGCTGTTAACCTTATTGATTATTGCAAACATGAGGTTCAAGTTTTAAATAAGTAGCAACATGAACAAAAAAATCCATGTCTATTTCTAACATTTCATATTTCTGTTTCTTCAGATTCTTCACTCCTTTACCCAGCAAGGTCCAGATCCTTGGCCTCAGCCTGGAAGTTGTTCATTGCTTTGGCTCCACAAAACACCCAGAAGATTGCTCCAAATAAGTGGCTGGAAACTTCTTGGAATGTCCCAGGTGCTACACTGTCTTTACCTTTGCATAGATGGCAGGAAAGCAGCTATCATAAATATTTTCAGCAGGCACCTTGTAGAGCCTTGGGATTAGAAGACATAGAGTGTCTTGAATCCAATCAGTGTCTCATTCAAGTGACAAAACCAAATCAACAACTGAATCAGACCAACTGTAATAATTTTCAAGTTCCTGCTTCAGAAACAATCATACATCATGCTTTCCACTTCAAAACAGCCTGCTGGTGGCACATATATAATCTTTCCCATTTTTCCAAATTTTCAACAACATTCCTGATTCCAGCTAGAACTCCATTAGTCTTCAAAAGCTATTTCCAATTTGTGACACTTAGGACACAATTTCCTGCTTATGACACAGTAAGAAGCAATGTTTCAAAGATCACTAGGGGATTGTTTACAAGTGTGTCTGGGAAGAAGACAGATCAAAAGTAAGACCTTTATGTGTCTAGACATTTCTGCATGAATAAACATCATTATGGTGAAACGTACATCTGTGTGAGGGGTAAATTCTATATCATTGTATTTGCACTGGGTAAAATTCAACGCCCTGTCTGAACTTGTCCAAAGGTCTTTGCATAGCCTTAGCCTCTCTTAATGCTAACAAGTCCAACAAGCTTGTTTGGCTGTTCTCAGCATGAAGGCAGAGCCTGGAAAACTTCAAACTATTAAGAATATAAATAAGAATAAAAGAAGGAGATGAGGACAAACATTGCCAAAAAAAAAAAAAAAAAGAAGAGGAATCATAACAAAATTAAAACACCGTTTTCAATAATAATTTGTTGTTATATTTACTTGCCCTTATGTTACACGCTCCTATTGGTACCAAAGCCATAAAGCTGGGAAAATATCTACATTTGGAGTACAGTGGAAGTTTTTCACTCACGTGGTAAAGTATGGTCTTTCATCATTGATGTTAATTATATTTATATTCACTGTTTTAGTCAAGTTGAGTCCGCCTGGATCTGTCACTGTTATGTTTAGGAAGTAACTGTTAAATAAGAAAACAAAACAAGAATAATTCTGTGGCTCTGAAGGAAAACATTTCTACTGTAAGCTAACAGACCATGTGAATAAAATACATTCTTACCTACGTGGATCTTTCTCATAATCAAATACTTTTCTGGAAAAAATGGCTCCATTTTTTAAGACTGAGAAGGGCACCCGTTCAGGGAGCAGTGAATACTGAAAGGAAAAGATCAAGGAATTAGTCTTTGTATCTTTAAACATCCTTCCATTCATTCCACGCCTTGTAGAATGGGACAAGTTACAGAACAGCATTTGCCTCAAGCTCTGCATAATGAAACATGCTGACATACAGATCAAGCCCTGATCATCTGAGCCAAAGCAGCTCACCCTTGGTCATAGGTGCTTTGCTTACCAGCCAGTAGAAAGTCACAAACACTGAACTGCCTTAAAGCCCACACTGTTCTCCACCTCCGTGAACTCCAGGTCTGCAGTGAGAATTTCACACAGAGGCCAGGCAGCAGAGCCACAGTACCACAGGCCAAAATTTGCTATGTGGTGGCAGTAGAGTACACACACAAAGGAGAAGAGAGAGAAGAAGGGGTGAGGCTGGATTTGGGGGATGTAAGAGCTGTGGAGGAGGCAATGAAGTTTGGAGGTGATGACTGGAGAGGGCAAGCAGAGGAGAGTGGACGTACATGGGGAACATGAGGGCATGAGGCTGAAGGGTGTTCACAACAGCTCAGTGCTAACACAGCTGCTCAGTGACTGTGTGTAGCAGCAGCCACTAGTGCACTGCACAACACAGATGGGCACCTCACCAGTGCGTGGGTGTGGGAGGGAGCTGAGCATCCCAACACCATACACAGCAGGGAGAAAGGCAGCACCCTATTCGCTGCGGCCACGAGGTAGCTGCTACATACCCACCACATCCTCCCCGCTATCTTCCACATGCCAAGCCATTACCAATTAGTTCTCAAGAACATTTCCTTTGCTAGTGCAGGTGCTAATAATACCCATAAAGTCTGAAGTATTCAACATCAACGTACAAGTAGTCTGCAAAATCCACTGAGCAGATCTGTCCAGGGGATGCAACTGCCCTAGTATTACCTTTTGGAAAAAAACCAGGAGGTACAGAGGGCTGAGTGAAACAACTTGCCTCTTGCAATGGCAGATTTCATTCAAATTGCTTTTAAAGAAGCAGTCAGGTGATCACAATTCTTTTAACATTTTTTTGCCACTTGACCTTTCTTAATTCCCGCTCTGGATTCTTATTTTACCTGTTCCCCAGCATTTCTATATTTGCAGTTTCTTACTATGCCTGAGATTCTTCAGGCGTTAGAAGGCCTGGGATCTCAGCTGCCATTGCTTTCAGAAACAAAGTGGAGCTAAACTCCCAGGCCTCTGCTTCCCTCCTCAGGTTTGGACTGGGCAAAACCTGACAATGGACTAACTGCTCTCTTGAATAATGCTACACATTGAAGTAGCACCCGCAGGTTCAGTCCTTGAATGTGTGCTTGTCTTTTATAAAGCTAAAGCAAATAAAGCAAAGCTACAACCCAATTCAATGCAGTTACTTTTTCCCTGTCTGCACACAAACTTATCACTTTCCAGAAAGTTTTGCTGATATCGAGCATTTTTGGACTAGCTTACACGTTTTCTTAACTGAAAGTCACAACTTGCCCTGGGATTGTCAGAAAGCTGAGGTTCGGTTGCCTTGTAAGTGATTTTCTTACCATCCCATTTAAAAGAAATTACATTGTGATACAGAACATTAAAAATTTTATTTACTTTTAGTCATTCATAGAATCAATCATAGAATCATA